TGTTAAATAATTTTATTTTGTGTATATATTCTAAATATTTCACTAGGATTTCGATAGTAAGGTGTTTAGCAGATTTACCGATGCCACGGGAGATAACTCTTACATCGCAAAATTTCATAAAAACGTCTCTATATTTTGACAGAAAAATACTATCAAAAGTGTTTTGCCCACCAATTTAATTTTTTAAGCTGAAAGACAAAATATTTCTAGATTTAGTTCAGCGTGAATTATAGCCCTGTTAAATAAGTATTGGAAATTACAGTTCTTTGTTTCTGACCTAAATTCAATGGTTTATATAGGGGAATTCAAGAACACGAAACAAAAGGATATTTTACTAGATAAGCAATTTTAAAACAAATCTTCGATTACATTATTCCATTTGGACTACATTGATATTGTTTTCAATAAAATTTCAAATATTCGTCACATTCGATGTGCCGCCTATTAATACAACCCTGCCTGGTTTTTCGGCGGACTACCTCTTAATATTTTGAAGGAGTTGGGGTAATAAAAATTAAATTCAGTTTTTAAGGCACAGGTTTATAAGGCCCCTAATAAGGTGGGTAAAGCATTATCTGCCAAAAGAGAAATTCGGTATTAAGCGTTTCAGTTACAATGGACGCGATATTTAGGGGTTGTCATAAGCCAATTTTATTAGGATATAGGATTTTATACATCCGAAAATCATGTTATATATAACGTCATTTGATAAATAAGAGTAATATTACCTTCATTACAGATGAACAGGTGAAAGTAAATAGAAAGGAAAGAGAAGGCTGATGCATCATGATTACCTTGTCTCTCAACATCCAGACCATACTGGCGAGTCTCAGCTTATCTCTCATCATCTATTACGTCATCAAACGAATACAGTATCGTCTGCCACCAGGTCCCTGGTGCATTCCATTTGTTGGACATTATAAAAGTAACTCGTTTTCAACTTTCAATTTCTCACAATATCATTAAATAATTTCTCCGATTAAATGTAAGTCAGTACAAGTCCAGATATGTTACTGGTGTATACAGAAGAGTTGGTTAAATTTTGAAAAAGAAAATCTGCGTTAGCTCTAAACACCATTATCTGTTTTTGACATGCTTTAATAGCAAATTTATCTACAACAAAGACCATTGACATTTTTTTTTTAAATATTTCTTTTTTAAATCACGTTTCATCGTAACGATCTACTATTATGTCTGAAAATAATTAAATTTTATATTTTAGATTAAGTTATTCAGGGAAACTAAATGTTTTTTTTTAAGCATCGCATAGTTGTACAGAATTAAGACAAAGAGTGGGATTAATTTTAAACTTAATTATGAAAATCTGTAAGATGAAGAACTCAATCTTTTAATATATAAAATAACTATATTGAGATAATTCTAAAAATTAATTCAACCTTTTCAGTCTATACATCAGTTGAAATGCACAAGAAAGTAGCTGAACTGTCCAAGAAATATGGCCCAGTCTTACGCCTGTCATATGGTGAGTTATTTTCTACCAACGATGACGATCCTACATACAGGCGCCCCTGAATCAATTCTAGAACCCAAAATGAGATGAAATCTGTCCATATTCTAATGACTTTACTGACTCTACACCACATTCCATCCTCATTCACATATTTCTGCGAGGAGTAACACAACGATTCGTAAAATTAATTTTTATCCTGCAATGAAAACCTTTCATAGAAGAAATATTACGAGAGCCTGTAAAATGGTTTATTTTAAGATAAAAAAAATCATTTTTAACGCACATTTTTTTGCAATCAAATAGGATCCAGCACTTGGGTTTTTCTAAATAAAAACGACGTTGTTATAGAGGCCTTAGTGAAAAAGAAGGAAGATTTTGCTGGAAGACCTCATTTTTCATCCGGTAAGAATGACGCAGCTCACCCTTTTTTTTAATTTTCAACTTTGATTCCAGCGTACATATTTCATGCAAATATCTCCCTCGCTGCCGTGGAACATGATTCGAAATCTACCATGAAATATCACATTAAGGAACTATAGATATTATATATAGTATAAATACTGAAAAAATAAAGACGGAAATGCTCGGATGGGTATAAAGAGTGAGAAGATTCTTGAGCACAGAAAACCTGGTGTTGTATGAAGCCATGTATCTGATTTATCTGAACATTAAAAACATCCACATCTAAGAAGACATTAGAATAAATATTACTGCAGATCACTTCATTTGCGTGTGATTATTTGGTACAGAACTTCTAAGAAAGTCAAAATTTCGAGAACTTCGGTCATTGCTTTGTCTGAACAATATTGATATAAATATCTATATTTAGACGAAAATGAAATTTTTGTATGCTGGCAGTCTTGCTTTATTATACTAATGTAACACAAGAGAAATATTCTTGTATGTAGTTCTTTTATTCTTGATTTGAATGAATATCAATGGTTATGATGACGATTATGATGACAGTGGTCCTAAAATAAACAATACACAATTGAAAATGATAGTCATAAAAAAATATATGTAAACAAGTACAATATCACCTCTTGACATTTCAATATTAGGAAAAAGTAATGTTCACTTCATTAAGAAATATTTATGACAGTCAGACTTCTATTACACTTTATCATACAGCATATAATCTAAGCAAGAAATAAATATGCAGTATATATAATAAGTAATAAAAAATGTACACAGCTCACAAACCTAAGTAAGGAATACAGTATGGCCGCTTCCGGTCACTGTGACGTCATCACACAAGGACTGTCCACTATAAATACAATCAGGTCTTACTACTCAATTCATACAAACTATACTTACATGTACTTGACAAGGAGCCACTTTTATAGTAAAAATGTTTTGCATTGAATAATCTTTTAAAATCATATATCATCAGGGCATCTATTATTTTTAACCTATAAACATACTTATAAACAAATGACTAGATGGTAACATCAAGACATAATTTCTGACTAGTAATAAACAACTTTCAATCGGGAAATTACGCAGTTGCATATTTCACAAAATATAGAATAATTATTCACTTGTGACATAAGTACCTAGTCTAATATGAATGTAAGACAAAAATATCATTACTCACATATATCAGACAAAAAGGCGTTTAGTACAACACGGCTGACACACGTCTTCACTGGTCAACATCTACTGTGAAAATACCGCCAAAAGATGGCCTACTGTACATTCGGTAAATTGACCAATCAATGGACAGATTCACAAGTGTAAAAAATGAATTATAAAAATTACTTACAGCCAAATACTAACATAATTTCAGTTATTCAAAAAGAATATAAACATAAAAATAATTTTCCTTTTCATAATTCGTAAACTTTATAAAAATTTCAATCTGAATCTCGAACCCGATGCAAAATATACTTTGCCCTCTTACATATTTCCCCCCTTTGTCATTGCTTTCCACAGCAATGAAAAGGTTAAAAAAAATAAAAATTTTCTATTACTAATTCCCTGTGACTGTGTATTTTGTTCTTGATGTAAACGTCATCGTATCTGAAATTTCATTGGTCGACTATTTCTCAGAAAAGGTAAACTGTTCAAGTTGTGAGTGGGAGACATTTCCAAAGAAAAAAAGTTCGCAGGCAAAGTAATTATTTTTTTTAAAAGAGTTATTAAGAGTTTATTTAAGCATTTCTATAAAAATAAAATCTTTTAAACTTTACTTCAGGTGTCAACACATTTGTTTCGAAACAGTATACGTATGTCTTATCCATTTCTGATATTTCTTTCAAAATGGCTGCGCCCATCATAACACAAATGTAGAAATTGTAACATGGCTAAAATTTACAGTATATAGTGCCCGGGAAAGGGATCTTTAAAATCCGGATGGCCAGGGGTCCCTTTTACACAGGCTTGTCACGCCTGTGTTGCTTTTAAAACCGGTTTCGACAAGGAAGACCCAAAAAATCCCCAACGATATAGCCCAAATGAAAAAGAACATTAGAAGTAGGCCCAAATGTTTTTTTTTTTATTTTATACAGTATTGCTGAAACTTTCAACCAGATAATGTGTAAACAAAATTTATACTTTACAAAATAAACAGATGATTTTTCAGACCCCCCCCCCCCCCCAAATTATTTGCCACAATTAATCAGGTTGGGGGAAAAGAAATGGGATATAATAGTCTGTTTAGATATAATATCCCAAATGGGCTATAAATTTACAGTGCAAAAATTGAAAAATTTTATTTTGGCTATAAATATCATAAATCCGATAGGACACTTAAAAAGGAATAACTTTTGGTTGAAAAGTTTTTCCCGTATGCCCATTGTTTAGGAGATTAAACTGGAAGTTCCCTTTAAATTCTTGGGGATAAAAAATTTTCCCAAAATGTAGGGTTGCAGAAAAACTTTCTTACCAAAAGTTATTCCTTTTTAAGTGTTTTATCCATTTATGATATTATTGCCAAAATAAAAATTTTAAATTTTTATGTAAATTTTTAGCCCATTTGGGATATTATATCCCAAACAAAAATATATCCCCTTTGGGCATCCCCAACCTGTTAATGGGATGTTTGAATTAGAATTCATTTAAATGATTATAAATTTTCATTTGCCTTCTAAAGTTTTTTAGCATTAAAATTGAACTACACATAATATCTGATCATTAAATGTTTGCATGGCTATGGCTTTATCTCATCCTATTTTTTGCAGGCAACAGATGAAGGAGTATTGTAAAGCTGTCAAACATTTGGGCCCGTAAAGGGATTGAGCAAAATTTTATAGAACAGCCAGAAAATATACCGACATGTGTAGCAACAAAACCTTACATAAAGGAAAACATTCAAGAACATTTTAAAAAGTTCAAATTATTCAAATCATGATACTAGTTTCTTATGAATTCTATTATAAACTTTACACCTATAATCCGGGTACCTGTAAAGTGCGAAACGAAATAGAAACGAAACAAAACGACTGAAACGAAACGAAATCGGGAAACGAAACGAAATTACGAAACGAAACGAAACCTACCGAAACGAAACGAAATCAAGACGAAACGAAACGAAATCAAAACGAAACCGCCGAAACGAAACAACACTATCAAAATGTTTTGTTTTTTTTTTAATCAAGGTACATCATAACATGTATATAATTATAAATGTGTAACTACATGTGGACTTTTTTTACTTCAAATAAAATTCATGTACTTCAACACGTTAATATAAAATTTAATTACCGATAAATTATGCCCCCTTTCTCAGTCTAAGATGCATTTACATGTTTGCAAGCTGCAAATATGCACGAGCGTACTATGCATGTTTAGTTTCAATATGTGCATCATTTTCTAATTTTTATATCTTACTCTTATTTTCAGTCCTTATTTATCTAGATTCAACATATCTATCAAAATTGATGTGTTACATGTAAAGGCTCGTTTATGTACGGGGTTTTGAAATAAAGTCACTGTACTGTTGTATTGCGAATGTCTTAAAACATAGGGTAAACCAGAGACTCAGAGTATTTAGTATTCCATTCCAAGGTGTCTGGGTTTTTTTGTTCAATTATACATGTAACTCCAACCGAAATCTTGTGTATCCTTTCTACGTACATACGGTCCTATTTTTATCGAGGTAATTTTGGAGGAAGAAGGAGTGGTTTGCAATAAAGAGGCTTGACCATAGACGTCTTAAACGATTTAACTGACAAGTAAAAAGTCTCTCGAAGCGAACGATGTCATTTTTAAGTAGGTAAATTATTCAGTAAGATATTAACAAAATATGACATACGTGTCGGAAGCGGGGGGAGGGGGGGGGGGGGGAGCCCCATCCCCACTTTCTTGCAAAGATATATATTACATAGGAATTGAAAACTGGGGTTTACCTTTTTTTGGTTAAGCCCCTCCCCAACTTTCAATTTTCCTTCCGACGCCTATGTAAGAACTTGAAGCGAAACAATTGCCTGTGGTGCTTGAACTATATAAATTTCATATGAAGTAAAAATAGACCATATAAACATTCTGAAAGTTTTGTTTGTTTGTTTGGCAGGTTTGTTTCTTTTCGTTTCGGTAGGTTTCGTTTCCTTTCGGTAGATTTCGTTTCTTTTGGGAGATTTCGTTTCGTTTCAGTTCGTTTCGTTTCTATTTTTTCGCACTTTACAGGTACCCCCTATAATCCTGTGTAATAAATTGAGATTCACAAATTCATTTTTTTCTTGTTTATTGATATTTAAAAGTCATTTCTTTAATCAATGTATTGTTGTCCAAATTGAAATCTAAATCAGATACTAAAAAGCACAATGATATGAATGTAATTTAGAAATTCTGACGTTTCTTTTTCTTTCTTTTTTTTTTTTTTTGGTTTCTTTTTTTTTTAAGTCAGTCAGTTTATTTAAAGACTTTGTGGAATATCCCAAAAAACCAAAGTTTAAAAAAATGTAGCTCTATTGGATTTTTAGTTTTTGAGCCAAAGGCTCAAAGAGCTAATGCTATGGCCATTTGTGCGGTGTGCGTAAACTTTTTAGAATATGGGCCATAACTAAAAACCCCTAGGCCAATCAATACCAAATTTGTCACAGGGTATCCTTGGCCCAAGGGCTACTATTTATACTAAAATAAGGGTTGGGACCTTTAAACAAGGGGAGATAATCAGGAAAACAAAACCAAAATCCGGTTCAAAAAAATTTCTTCTCCAGAACTACCAGGCAGATTTTCACCAAACTTACATACAAGGATCAGGATATGTCGAAGATTAAAATTTGCAGGGGGAATTTACCCTGGGGCAAAGGGCGTGGTCTCAAGGTCACTTCAAAGTTGACCTAAATTTACAATTAATAAAAACTGTATATTTTGCTTACTATAAGGACTAGGATCATCAATTCTTGTAAGTTGTTAAATTTTGCGGGGGGTTTTTTTTCAAATTGATTTAAGGCATATTTTGGACACTTTAAGGCCATGATCATCAAACTTT